CGAGGCGGTGGTATTCGCCTGCCTACCTCACAGATTGTGGGGAGGTTCCAGTGAACACACAGATGTGAGGGATGCAGAGTTGCGGCTGCCTGCTGTGGGCCCGCCACCCCCGCCCAGGCTGCCCTCCAGGCTCCCCTCTTGCTGGGTCAAACGGGGGCACTGCAGGGGTGATGTCTGGGAAGGTGGAGGGGCCTCTGGGGCCATTTCAATAAGGCCAGAAGAGCCCTAGGGCTGAGATAGCTAAAAGGAGGACAGCAGAGGTAAAAACACTCCCTGGTGACAATTCTAGGGCAGTGGTTCTCAAACTGGAGCAGGACGGAGAAGCCCCAGGGTGCTCATGGAGACACAGAGGCGGGCCCACCTGCAAGTTTCGGGTTCAGGAAGTCTAGGGTGGGGCCTGAGAATCTGCATCTCTCCCAGTTCTTGGGCACGCTGAGTCTGGGACCTCGCTTTGAGACCCACTGCTCTAGAAAATGGAGGAGAAAAAGCTGCTCATTTTGAGGACCACGGACACACGGGTCCTCCATCCCTCCTTCTCTCCCTCCCTTTCTGGTTTCCTTCCTTCCTGGTCCCACATTTAATATTAGAGCGCAAAACCTGGGCTGGGCTGACCAGGTGGCTGTTGGCTGCCGAGGGCCCCAGGCCTGTGGTGTGACCGGATGTGGAGGAGTCAGAGTGAGTCAGATCGCTGGCGGAGGGAAAATAACACGTTCCAGGCCAGGGGCCAGGGTGGCCTTCCAGGCTCTGTAAGAGCGCCTGGCACTGTGCAAAGCCGAGACAGCCTTCCCCTGGGGTTGGGTGGTCCCCAGGCAGCAGGACACCGGGTGAGGAGCTGGTCGGTGGGACGGGCAGCTGGTAGAGTGCTGTGTCAGGCCCACGAGCCCGTCCCCGAGGCGCTCACCCAGGCCAGGCCTTCAGAGGCAGGGCTGGGAAGCAGGCCGGGAAACACAGTGAGAAGGGGCAGAAGTCCTGTGGGCACTGGGAGCAGCCAGCCCTCGGCCCTTAGATGGCCAAGCTGTCCAATTTTTGCCTTTGACTGCTCCACCATCCTTTGTCCCACCCGTGACCCATGGTGAACCCTGCAGTCCACCCTCCCCTGGGCTCGCCCACCAGACCTCTGTGGACCTTCTCTCCCCTCCCTGACCTGGGTCTCATTCCTCAGGGCCCCTGTTGCTATTTTCAAGAAGATCGCTAAGGTGCCTGATGAATGGAATTGAAGACGTGCCCCCCTCAGCCATCAGAACCGGATGGAAGTACCAGGGGCCGCACCATGCAAAGGCGCAGCTCCAAGAGGGACACCGGCCCCGGGCGTCTGCTTCGGGATCTGATCTGACTCTGGTGCACTGCTCTCACATTCTCTGGATCTATTTCCTCAACCACAAAATGGGGCCAATGGGACGTGCACGGCAGGATTGAGGGAATCACGTGAGATAATATCACAGAGGTCCTTGTAACTGGTACCAGTCTCCTCTGCAGTGAAGAGTCAGCCTGAAGGTTCTGAGAGTCCATGTGGAGAAGTGCCATTGGTCAGGCCCTCACCACATCTCAAACTCTTCAAGATTTACCTCTATGTTTATTTGGGCCTTCGAGTGGGCTTCTTAGTTCTTTAAGGTGGCTGCTTGTCATTTATTTGTTCCAGTTTCGGCTCTTGTGAGCTGTCAGCTCCCCAGCTAGGATCGCCTCCCCCCAGCAGTTCCATCGGGACCTCCGGGACACATACTCAAGAAGCGTCCCTTGGCCTGGGGTGGCCTTTGGTGCCCTCACATCTACCTGCCATTCTCCTTGTAGGCAGCGTCTGATATGAAAACTCCTTTCTCAGGGTCCGAGCGGAGGGGCGGGGTGCACAGTGAGGAGAGTGGGAGCCCAGACTCTGGGGCCAGTCGCCCGGCTTCAAATCCTTGTTCCTCGTTGGCTGTGTCCGTGCACAAGTTACCACGAAAGGAGCCAACAGCATCCTCATGGGGTCGCCAGGGGGGCTGGCGAATTAATGCACCTAAGGGAGTTGCCGGTTGCCCGCGCTTGCTGAGCTCCAGCTGAGGGTGGTCCGAGCAGGAGCTCAGGGCTCTGTGTGCTCTGCTCCGGACCTGACTTTCGGTGACTTTCTGCTGTTACTGCGGTCCCTCCGGCACTGTGGAGACTGTCACAGGCGTAGTAGTGTTCTTGTGAGCCCCCCTTTCAATCCATGGACCTCAGAAGATGCCTCAGCTGCCCACACTAAAATCTAGGGGTGAGCTTGGCCCCATGTGGCCCATAGCTAACCCCCTTAACCATGGTGTGGGTTCTGCACTAAACTCTTGGCCTGTATTATCTCATTCATTTAATTTGCGGGGGGAAGTATTTAAAGCAGATGACAAAAGGTTATCTGTATCTATAATAAGAGTTCTTTAGAATTGACAGTGAAGGTCAATAGAAACAAACCAATAGAAAAATGGGCAAAAGATACAAATAGACAATTCTTAGAAGTGCAAATCAGAATAACCAAGAACTGTTGATAGAGAATTGCAAATTAAAGTAGCAATGAGATGCCACTGTTTACCTATCAGGATGACTAAAATGTAAATGATTCCCTTTTGTAAAAGAAAAAACATTAACCCCTCCACACATGCGTTTGTGGCAGGGTTTCTCAACTTCGCTATCACTGATACTTGGGCCCAGATAATTCTCCATTGCGGGGGGCTGTCTTGTGTGTTGCGGGCTGTGTAGCAGCCCCGCAGCCTCTACCCACTCAATGACAGTTGAGCGCCACCCCCCCGCCCCCGGCACTCCAATCTTGACAACCAAACATGTCTCCAGACATTGTCAAATGTCCAGGGGGCAAAACCGCCCCCAGCTGAGACCTGCCTGGGATATAGGTAAACATTTATAGCTGTATATGATTTTATATGAACACGTACTTAATTTTAATCACTGTTTTTACAGACAAGGAAACTGAGGCGCAGGGAGGCCAAGTAACCTCTTAGGGTCACACTGTCAGTTTAGGACCCACGACGTGAGGAGGAGTCCGATTTCAGAGCTCAGCTCCTCACCCGAAGTGCAGCCACACTGCTCAGCCACAGTCTTGAGGTTTGCCTAGTTGAAGGTCTGTAGAACTTCATGTTTCTAGGCAAGAATCATGGGTGAGGGAGAGTTTCTACTGTGGTCCAGCTGAGGCCTGTGGTGTCTGATCCTGTCACCTGTGAGGGACAACAGGGCTGGGGGGCCAGTCCAGAAAGCAGCCTCTGGCAGGGCCAGCCAACCTCCTGAGCAAGGTTGACCGCAACTTGCAAGGAAAGATCTAGGGTAAGCAGCACTGCGCTTGACCCACACAGTGGCCTCTCCTATGTTCAGGGGGGGAAGGTAGAGCAGCCGGCGTGGGAGTGGGCACATGAGGACAGGTAGTGATGACTGGACTCCTGATTCTCAATTTCACGCCCTTCACTTTCCTCCCCGCTCTGCCATGTCCCCAAAGCCCTGCTGTGGCCAGCTGGGTGGGCCACGGTCCTACCCGGACTGGTGGGGTAGTGTGTGGGGGTGCATGTCACCTGTTGGGTTCCTCAACCTTTGGCCAGGTCACGATGAGGCTGTTTCCAGCTGGCTTGTCTGTTGGGGCACTAGGCTGTGAGCTCTGTGAGGGCAGGGCCGGTGTGCTTCCTCCATCTCTGCATGCCTAGTGCAGTGGGCATCAAGGTCAAGTGGGTGCAGGCTGGGGGAGGAGGGGCACAGTCAGGATATTTAGGTTGGCACGTGCCTTCCGGGTCCCGGAGCCCAAAGTCGTTGGTTCCTAGAGTCACTCAAGGGGCGTCACCTGAACAGCCAAGGTGAGCTGAGGAGCTCAGCCCTGTTCCCTGTAACGGGTTCTGGTCTTTCCCTGGGCCTGCGAACAAACCCGAGCTGTAATGAGTTCCGGGCCGAATGGAGCTCCCTGATTGCTGCTCACGGAGCGGGGAGGGCATGCAGCTTAGAGCTGGAGGGGCGGACCTCATGGAAGGGCTTCACTTTGGACACGGCAACTTCTCAAGAAGTTTCTTGTAGGAAATACTCACTGGTCAGGTATCCCCGCCGCCCGCCCCTACAGGCCAGCTGCAGGCAGGAGCTTCCACGTTGAACAAGCAGCCCCCTCCATGTGCGGGGCTGGGGGGCAGCTGCGGTCCTCCTTTCTGTGCCTGGAAGCATCACACCTTTCTTTGCTGAACCCCAGGCAGAGCAGACTGGAGTGTCTTTTGATCTCCACTCTATCGTTGCAGACCTCTATTGTGGCCCCATAACAGCTTTATCACACACGTACATACACACTTCTACTTTTTGAAGGCAGAGATCAGATCTTAAAATCTCAGTGGGGAAACTGGGTCCCAATGACTCTCTCCTTGCGAAGTCATCCCACAGACAAGAAAGTGAGTGACTGTGACTTGCACAATTTAGGGCTTATTCTAAGTCGCCTGTTCTCAATCTGCCACACATTAGACTCTCCTGGAGATCTTCCAATGTGCAGGCCACACCCCGGGCTCATTAAATCAGAATCTCAGGGAGAGTCCCCTGGAATCAGTTTTTTAAAAAGCTTCCCAGGTGGAAAGCTCAACGCGCAGAATTGAGAACCTCCGTACTAAGTGGACATTGGCCAAAAAGGGGGTTTGATGGTGTAGGAATTAAGACATTTGACTGTAGCTACTTTGGTGGTTGCAACTGAAGAGCCCCTTGTAAATGAGGCAGGAGAGAAAAAATGGCAATGGGGCTGGGAGACCCGTGGGGGCCCGGCAATCCCGTCACCTGAGCTGCGCGCCCTCAAGCACAGGCGGCGACTGCCCATCCCACCCTGTAGTCCAGGGCTGCCCCACTCAGAAATCTGCAGGACGACTGTCAACGCCACCAGTCTTTAAGAACCAGTCTTTCCTATTTCAGGAGCATTTTCTAGACTCCTACAGCCCCCAATTCAATTGTCAACTCAAAGGTGTAAGATTGGCAAGCAACAGAGGGACACTTCTTTTTTAACAAGCTTTAGTTCACTTTATTTTTCTTGTATAAAACTACGTGATGGCCACAGCTGGAGCCTAGGTCCTCTGCACGGAGACTCTGTTGTGGGTGTTCACAAGATGGTCAGTGAATTTCTGATAGGGAGACTTGGTGAACACCGTCTCCTTCCAGAAGTCAGGGGTGAGACAGCTGTAGGTCTCGGGGATGGCATCAAAAGTAGCCTTGGCAAAGTTCCCCAGGGTGGCAGTGCAGCCCCTGGCCGAGGTGTGGCAGTCGTCGATACCGGCCAGCATCAGTAGCTTCTTGGGCACAGGGGCTGAGACCATGCCAGTGCCTCTGGGGGCGGGGATGAGGCACCCCAGCACAGGGCCACAGCAGCCAGTCACCCGGGATGGGACAGTGTGGGGCTTGCTGATCTTGTTCCCCCAGTAGCCTTGCCGCACGGGGACGATGGAAAGCTTGGCCAGGACGATGGCCCCACGGACGGCAGTGGCGACCTCCTTGGAGCACTTGAAACCCAGGCCCACGTGCCTGTTGTAATCTCCGATGGCAACAAACGCCTTGAACCTGGTCCGATGGCCAGCACGGGTCTGCTTTTGCACAGGCATGATCTTCAGAACCTCGTCCTTGAGGGATGCTCCCAGGAAGAAATCAATGACCTAGATTCCTTGATGGGCAGGGAGCAGAGAGAGATCTCCTCCAGGGACTTGGTCTTCATGTCCTTGACCAGGCAGCCCAGCTTGGTGATGGAGATCCACTCCTTGTCCTCGGCCTTGCCTCTGCGAGCTCCACGGCCTTGACCCCGGCCCCGACCACAGTCCCGGATGCCACTGCCGAAGCCTCTGCGGCCTCCCATTCCAGGGCCCCCCGGCCCTCCGGGCCCTCCCACAGCACCGGCGTCATCCGCCATTTGGTATTCTCTCGGAGAAGAAGCCAGAGAGACACTTCTAAAGTGGTTCCTAAGTCTATGTAGGTGCAGGCCACCTAAGCGCCCCAACATCTGACACTCCCTAACTCAAATCACGATGGCTGCCATATAGAACAAAAGAGGAAAGAACAAGCATCAGCAAGGGGGTGGAGAAATCGGAAGCCTTGTGTGCTGTTGGTGGGAATGTAACATGGTATAGACGTTGTGGAAAATAGCATGGCAGCTTCTCAAAACATGAAAAACAGAACTGCCAACTGCCAACGATCCAACAATTCCACTTTTGGGTCTAAACCCCAAAGAACTGGAAGCAGGGTCTTGAAGAGATTTGTACATCCGTGTTCGCAGCAGCATTCACAAGAGCCAAAAGGTAGAAGCAACCCAAGCGTCCATCGATGGTTGGATGGATGAACGAAACAGACACACAGTGGGATATTATTCAACCTTAAACAGGAAGGAAATTCTGACACATGCCACAACACTGATGAACATCAACATTACATCAAGTAAAATAAGCCAATCACAAAAGAGCAAATAATCATTCCACTTATCGGAGGCAGGAGTCAAATGCAGAGACAGCAGGAAGACCGGGGTGGCTGCCAGGGGCAAGTGGTCACCAGAGGAATGGGGGAGTCAGTGTTTGATGGCGACAGAGATTCAGCTTTGCAAGATGAAGCGCTCTGCGGACAGATGATGGTGCTGATTACATAATGATGCAACTACTTAATGCCACTGAATTACAGACTTAAAAATAGTTATGAGGGTGCATTTTATGTTATTTCACCAAAATTAAAACCAGCCACAGCCTAGAGAACTGGGAGGGGCACACAAGAAGGAGCCAACCGTTCACAGAAGTGGTTTATCAGAGCTGTGGACTGAAAGCCCTGACAGGGCCAGGAAGGCCCAGGAGGAACCTTACATTTTGTATATCTATTTGGGAACAAGGACAGTGGAGAGAAAGGAAAGTTAAGATCCAAGCTGGGAACAGGACAAAGCACTTCACCCACCCCTCAGTTTTCTTCCTGGTTCAGACAGAAAACGTCAAAGACTCACAAGGGGTTCTTGCGGGAATGCGGGTAGTTTTTTGTGAGAACCCGAAAAAGAAAGACTAAAAAGAAGCGAAGTTGTAAGCAAGCAAGTAGGTAAGATATTGACACACGAAGGGGTGAGGCGGGGAGGACATCCAAGAACAGCGGCTGGCTCCAGCACCTCAGGGTTCTGAAAGAACTCACAGCTTCCGTGAAGTTTGTGAACCCCGCCTAACCATCACTCTCCATTCTACTTTGATTAAAACATGATTATGCACCTTGATCTATCCTCTTCATCAGATTTGGCTTGGACCTACTTGTGGTGCTTTCCAAAAAATCACAAGTGCCCCCAGAGCATTTACAGTACACAGCATATTCTAAAGAACATGCCACCTTAAACAGCCCAGGAGGCCCCCCAAGGACGCTCTGACAGAGAGAACCAGTGAGGTGAGCATGTGATACCAGCTGGGGAGCCCGGGGATTCCAGGCAACATGATGAGCAAGCTCTGGAATATCTGCTTACAAAGCAGGTGTATCCTGGGAGAGAAACACATGGAAAACAGAGGTGCCCAGGAAATGCACGGATGGATCGGGCAGGAAGGGCAGGGGGTCATCACCTCGCCTCCCAACACAGGTCTAACTTCAGTGTGCTGTGTGCATCCCCTGTCTGTATTCTGGGCCTGCTCCTTCCCCTTCGTACCTTCGGTGCCTGAGTGGGGCTGAGCCACGGTGGCCATGCAAGCACGCTCCTTTGTCCAGTGGGTTACCTTGTGATCTCCCGGGGAGCCCTCCCCCACAGTTCTGGTAGGAGTGGAAATTATCGAGTCGTAAACTGGCCCACTGCCCCAAGAACACATGCCTTAACCTGTGGCACAGGATTCCACTGTGCCCCTGTTTCCTGTGCCCCTCAGAGGCTGTGCTTATTCCTCTGTACCCAAGCCCCAGTATGCTGTGGCTGCCGCTCTCCCCACCGTGGGCACAGCATAGGGTAGACCTGTCACGTGTCTGGAGGGAGCAGCGTGGTCACTCTCCCCGAGCAAGGCCTCCCTTCCTGCCCGACACACATGGGTCCTTCCCGTTGGCTTCTACTCTCCTGGCCACGGGGGCAGAAGCTGGCTCAGGAAAGGGGACGCAGCAGGGGCTGTGCTCTCCCCCATGTCCTCTGACAGGAACAGAAGGGACCCAAGACACGACTGTGCTGAGAAATCACAGTCCTGGACTCTCAGATCAGAAATGCAGAAACCACAAACCAAGGGAAAAAACAAAAACTGAAGTCTTTTTAATTTTTTTCCCCCTCCCAAGAGCTAGTTCCAGTGATGTTTATTACTCAGCCTGAGCTGGAATAACATTAGACAAAAATAGAAACAGCCTCTGGTTTTACAAAACCTTTGTACAAGTCCTCTGATTTTCTAGTCATGCCAGGGTCCCCTGCTGTGGTGCCAGAGGTCAAGGGAGACTGGGCGGCCCAGAGGGAGCAGGGCCCGCAGAGAGGGTTGCGGGCCTCAATGCTGCGAGCAGAGCTGGGTAAGATAAGCCAGGCAACCTGTTCCAACAGCCTGGCTGGCGACTCGGGGTTCTACGTGTGGGGCCGAGCTGCTGGGTCCCTGCCCCGGGTACAGAAGCTGGGCGGGTAGAGGCGTGGGCTTGGCCCTGAGCGAACTTTGCCCCTAGGATGGCGAGAGCCCCACCCCAGAATCCTGCCTGCAGTCACTGGCTGCTCATAGCAACAAGACCTCACCTCCCTGCCTCAGAGGTGCCGCACAGGGGAAGGGCTGGCCACCTGAGAGGGACTCAGGGGACTCGGTGAACCCTGCTCATATCCCGAGACGGGGAAGGCCAAGGAACGCTGCCACTTTCCAGTTGAAGCTGGTCCAGCCCTGAGGCCAGCTGCTTTCACGGCCCCCCAGCATCACTGCCGTGCCCTGCACGGCCACCTGGGCCACCTTGGCCTCCGCTCTCCCGGGCCTCTCATGGGACGGGCAGGCCAGGCCCGCCCCTAGGTCCTCCTGGCTGTCCTCCAGGCCGGGTAGATGGTAGGCGGTGGCCACTATCTCAGGGGCTGCTTGAGCTCGAACAGGCCTGTCCCGCCCCGGACGACTTTCCCGACCACGAGGCAGGCGGAAGGGGACCTCAGCTCATCGTGCGATCCTGGGAGACACAAGAGCTCTTGTTAGGTGGTTGAGGGAGAAGTTGGGGTGAGGTAAGGGGATGGAGGGGGCTCAACAGAGGCTGGGCAGATAGGGCATCTCAGAGGCCAGCAGGAGGCCCTGAGTCCTGGAGGCCGATTAGGTTCTGTGAGGTAGCTCTGCTTGCAGAAAGAGGAAGGAAGGTCCTTCCCCCTTCCCTTCAAAAGGGCAGAGGTAGCTTTCCCATCTACTGCCCACCCTCCCCAGCTGCTTCCTCAGTGAGATCCCAAGATCTCACTCGTGTGGAAGGCATGTGGAAAGGTGCCCAAGAGACAAGCCTGTTTGCCCAGAGCAGACTTAGGAGAGGGAAGGCCAAGGGCACCCGCCCATGCACTGACCCAGCATGGTGGCCTGCTTCAGAAACTGGAAGCTGGTTTCAAATGTCATCTGTTGCAGAGGGGAGGAGTTTGAGCGGATCCCAAAGCGATTCAACGGCTTGTACACGCCCTCGAAGCACATATAGTCGGCGACCAGGGAGAGATGGCGGGGATCGACCGCAATGCCTGTCACGTTGGCAGCAACACCAGAAAGGATTATGCAATGACAAGGGGACAGTTGGGACAGTGTCACCCGACACAAGGCAGCTCATAGGCTCAGATGTCAGACCCCCAGGCTCCGCTTCCAGCTCAGTCACCTATTCAGTCAGCTACTTAGCCCCCAACCTCGGCGGGGCAGTCCCCCTCACCCCTGCCCACTATCAGTACAACCCACTCTCCACTTCTATCCACTAGCCTAGGAAACTGACTCCAGACTTGCAGCACTGTTTCACTTGGGAGCCCAAACCTTGAAGGCAGGCTAGGGGCCACGTCATCAGGCAGGAGCTTCCTCAGAGGCCAGATGAGAAACAGGTCGGTGGGGGTGGGGGTGGGGAGGGGAGAAGTCCTCAGTGACAGGACTGAAACCTGTCCTCCCAGATCACTGTCAGAGTCTCCCACAGGCCACACGCTCACTGCACCCACATCCCTACAGAGCTGGCCCGCCACGCCGGGACCTTCTGAGCGCTCTCCACGGCCCCTCTTACCGTACACAGCAAACACGTCCCTGATCTCCTTCTCGATCACCCGCAGTGCGGCCTCGATGCCGTAGGTGCTGGCCATGGCGTGGATGTCATTGGAATAGAGGCGGCGCAAGTCCAGAACCTAGGGAAGAAGGAGGGGCTGAGTGGGAAGGCCTGGCCTTCTGCTCCCTTCCGTTGGCATGACCCACCCTGGCCGAGCTCGCGCCTTGTCTGGTAGTCAAGCACAGCTGCCGACGATGTGGTCCAGGGGTGGCCCAGGATTAGTGAAGGGAGACAGTGCAGGCAGAGTTGTGGGTGGCCAGGCCCCAAGGTCTGTCTCGCTGTCGGCACCAAAGCCCAGAGATAACTTGGTACCCGCTTCAGGTCAACAGGAAGAAAGGTATTTCCTTATTTATTTAACAGATCGACGTGTTTCCTAGGATTGAGACGTCCTTCGGTAGGCGAGGAAGTTCTCCAGCAGACACTTAAATCCCTCTCCAGGGCACCAGGGGCAGCGGTGAGGCAGCTCCGGGGGGGAAAGCCGGGCCTCGTCAGGGCCCTGAGGCTCCAGTTCGGCTGTTCTGGAGGCCCCAAGGTGGCTCTGCACTACGTCATCCCCACAGGACACGGCGGAGACCCCGGCCTCGTTCAAACAAATGCCACGAGCATGACGGAGTTCACCCTGCTGGGGCCTGCCTCTCAGGAGGCACAAGCCCCCCCTGCTCTGTCCTCAAGGAGGCGTCCGGGCAGCAAGGGCCTCTGCAGGGCAACTGTTGTGGGAGGAGCAGTGTTCCAGGAAGGGAGAGCTTCGTGAGCTGGGTGCAGACCGGCGACGGTGGGCTACAGGGGTCCCAGCACCTCGGTATTCTCTGGGGGAAACCCTTGTGCCCAGGGGTTGAGAGCATCTCAAAAGGTCCCAGGAGACACAACGAAGTGGGAGAATGAAGCAGGAGGAGCAGGTGGGACAGAGCAAACTGCGCCGCTGGTCTGGGCCACCTCTGCTCCCAGGGCCCCCTTTACCAGATGAAATGAGCAGCTCCCAAGCCAGGAATTCAGCAACTATTTCTTACAAATCGACTTTGCGGAGATTTTAACTTCAAGGAAAAAAATTTAGAGCCAAATGAGTTTGAGAAACCCTGGGTTAGAGGACGTTAAGCAGGTTTCTGTACAGCGAGTCCTAACTAGGCTAACGCGCATGGTGGATCCCAAAAAGAGGGCCCAGGGACCTCACCTGCTGGTGGCCAGGCCCCGAGACAGCATGGGGCCTCGTTCTTGGCCAGCCGACAATCTGGAAAGGGGACATGTACCTCAGCGTATTTGAACAGCTCCGGCAGGTTGATTCCTTCAGTGTTTAAGACAAGCTCCTTCTCATTCTTCTTGTTGGTGGTTTCATTGAGGAGGCACCTTGTGATGCCCTTGGTCGCGTAGACGACAGCACTCTGGGCCAGCAACACTACCAGGGAGCTCATGTCAAAGTTAATCTTCATCAGAGGGAGCTTCACTGTCACCTGCAGGAGGAGGGAGGTTTGTGCGAGGGGAGGGGGCTAGCCCTCCCCCACAGCTGGCTCCCTGGGCGACGCCTTCAAAGCTTGCTTAGCAAACACCTTGGCTGGGGGCAGGTGGCCCTGCTGGGGTAGGCTGGGTCTGCACACGCAAACACTGGGTGGCAGAACGGACCACACACAGCAGCCATCTCCAGTCACCCAGACGAAGGTGACACCTTCACAGATGCTGCTGAAAATCCTATCTGCTCAACAGTGCCCCTGGTAGCCTTTCGATCACCCCAAGGTGTCACAACTGTCGTTTCGTGTGGGTAACCTGCTCAACGACTCTTATCTACGTTGCCATTTGGGAACCACTGGACTGGACCAAAGCAAAGGACAAAAACATCAGTCTGAGTGTAGCTGTGTAGGCATCCTAACCAGCCAGCCTTTACAGGAACCCTGAAGTTGGTGACTAGAGGCCGTGGGTGCGAGGAACTAGCGCACTCCTGCCGGCCTCCGCAACAACTCTGAGGTATGGTCGCTCGGTAGTACCGAAGGTGAAATGACTGAGGTGAGATGTTTAAAAGTACCCGCGGGGCCCAGCCGATCAGACTCATGTATACACACTGTTCTTGAAGAATCAGAAAGAACTGGCCCACTAGCGGTTTGAGTCAAATGCGGAGGGCAGTGATGTGGGGCAGAGGGTCCACAGCTGCCCCAGATCCTTTAAGGGATCTGGGATGATGAAGAGACCGCAACCCACAGCCACAGACCCCGCATGCCAGCCAGTGGCGCGGGGAGGAGCTCAGCAGCAGGCCCCTGGCCGGGCCTCTGTGGGGGTCGCGAGCGGTACCAACCTGGCACCACAGGCTCTCCTCGGAGTCATACTGGTAGTCCTCTATGAACGGGTGCGACTCGCGCACCGCCTGCACCCGGCGCTCCACGGCCCCGGCTCCCTGGGGCTCTCTGCTGCGGGTGGACTTCCGGGGCTGGCTGAGGGGGGCGGCAGGGGGCGAGTCCTCCTCGGGGCCTAAGCCCACCTCTTCATCCTGCTCCTGGGCCTTGTGAGCACCTTCCTCCTGCATGTCCTCATCGTCGTTAGCCTCCTCAACCTCCTCTTCCTCGCTCTCATAATCGACCTGGCAGGGGA